ATACCAGCGGCTGATGGCGGAAGTGGAGGACGGGATGCGGGCCACCCTGGTGACGGCGCCCGACTACCACGCCCTCCACTTGGTCTACACGGCCAGGAGGCTCTTCCAGAAGGACAACTGGATCCCGAGTCCCGGGGAGAAGATGGACTTGAATCGGCGCTTCGCGGAGGGCTACAAGATCCTTATGAGCAAGTACGGAGACGAGCGCCCGGCGGCTTTGAACGAATTGGAGCGGCGACTGAACGATTACCAAAAGACCTTGCACCGTCTGGGCCTGCGGGACTACCAAGTACCCACCCTGCGGGAGGACGACTCCCTCAGGCTCTGCTATACGATCGCTCACCTTTTCCTGGTCTTCACATTGGCCATGCTTCCCTCCCTTGTTCTGAACGCACCTGTGGGTGTCATAGCCCGCTTCGTCTCATCGCGGGAGCAAAAAAAAGCCCTGGCCGCCTCCCGGGTCAAAATCGAAGCGCGCGACGTGATCATGTCAAAAAAGATCACCCTTTCTATTGTCCTGGTCCCCACACTCTGGATTGTCTACGCCGTCCTCCTCCTCCGCTTCACCTCCCTACCCCCTTCCACTGTCGCCGTGCTCTTCTTTTCCTGTCCAATCTTCTCCTATCTGGGAGTGATGGCGACTGAGGCAGGCATCCTCGACGCCAAGGACCTGAAGCCTGTTCTGCTCCGTCTGCTTCCTGGAGCCCGCAAGAAGATGGCCACGCTGCCCGCAGAGCGCACCCTACTTCAACATGATCTAAGGGCGTACATTCATGAAATTGGCCCCGAACTCGGTTCTCTTTATACGGACAAGACTGTAAAATGGGAAGAATACATTCGCAAGTCATCATCCGCCACGGACCTCCAATCACTGCTCCCGAGCGGCAGTCCCAACGGGAAAGACGGCCGTGCTGAGACGGAAGACACGCGAGGGGAGAGGAACGGCCACGCTAGCAGCTTGTCTTTCACGTCACCGGCCCTTGCGCAAGCTGTGAATGGACGAGGCACACCTTCACCGCTTACTTTTAAGCCAGATGAGCAGTTCAATAAGAAAGATGCGTGAAGCAGTGAAAGGTGAAGATAAAATTGAATTGGGGGGGGGAGGTTAGAAAGTGTACATGTGTGTTCCGCTATTTGATAGGCTCCAAACTCTCGAATAACACGCGTCCAGTGAAGCTTTTTTCACTAGAAGAAAGAAAAATGCGATATGCTAAGTACTTGGCTTATACAAAAAAACTGCGCTGAAAAACATAACTTTAACCAGAGTGTTGGCACACATGCTCCCCTGGACGTCACGCAAAAAAAAAGAATTTTTGCTCACGCCGCACCCCCATTCACTCATTCGGACAGTACCAACAGTATGCTTCATGGGTTATCATACTCCCTGCTTATGGCCTGTTTTTCGTCTTTTCTGCTCGCTCAAGCCGACGCTTTCTCTTCTCCTCTTCATCCTGGTCAACGGTCGGTCTATGGAGCAGGGCGGCACTACGTGCAGTCAGCAAAGCAAGCGCCGAGACCCGAAAAGGCTACAAAAGAATCGTTTATTCAATATGGGGCTGAGCCATCATCCTGGCCTTGTTCTCCTCTGGTCGATCGTCATCGCCTTCTCAACAACGCTCTGCTAATAGCAGGCGGAAGCACTCTGGGGTTATCGTCTCAAATGACCTCCACCCTGCCAGCTTGGGCTTTCACTGACGTCAACATACGACACACAGTCAACTACACCGCCTTTCAGAAGAAGTTTTTCCAAAAACCACCAGGGTTCCTCGCTTATCCTTCGTGGATGGAAGGGGAATGGCATGTTTCCTGTCGGTTCATTGGAGCGGATTTCCCGTCCTCGGCTGCCAATTCCAATCCCTTCGTGCCCCGAGAGCGCATTGCGGCGGACACCTCCCTGCCGGGTTTCCGGCGCCTAAGCATTGCCATGGTCCCGGACGTGGGTAAAGACCATGACTTTCGCATGCGATTTCTACGCCCCAACGTGGAAGGCATAGGGACGGGGGAGGTGCGGGAGGACAAGGTTTTCAACCTCAAACAAGCCTTGGAATCTGAACTGGGCAAAGCTACGGTCACCAACATCGACTACAACCCAGCCAAGAATCCTAACCGCGCTTCCCTTGCTTTGTTGCCAGGTTCCAGCCCGAATGCGCAGCGGATCGAACTTTTTTGGAACGCCCGCTCGTCTTTGCCGTCCCCACCATTAGAGACAGACACGACGACAGGGCCACCAGGCAGTAGTAGCGGCAGCAGCAGCAGCAGTCAGGACGTTTTTCGCTTCGTTGAAGACATTCGCCAAGTGTCGCTCACGCCGCAGCTTGCCGAGACAAGCTCCGTTGGTGACTACCGGCACTTGTGGGAGTTCTACCACATAGGGCCCGAGTCTATCAAAACCTACTTATCGACTGTAGCCTACACAACACCCCAAGGTCCACTCTTTCAAACGGCGGGGTTGCAGCCACTGGTTGTCTATTTCCATACCTTGACGATGCGGCGCCTTGCAGGAACAGCGTAGCCGCACCAGGCATTATCTTGTGGACGCGACGAAATACAAAACATACTGATTTGCACTCCATTGGCATATATTTCTTCTCGTCGTTTCTCATTTAATTTTGAGATAACCGCACTGAGCGATCAGGTTTGTTTGCATTTTGACGTCGCAGTGTATCACTCCTTGGCACGCGATTGCCCCGACTTCTCAAAGTCATTCATCCTCGCACGCTACCATGTGAGATCCATCAAAGGAAACCCAAACATTTGGAGAACATTTCATCGTCTTCCATATCCACAAGTATCCAAGATACATCCAGCCCGTTGGATACCTGCGGATTATCCTTCCGCCTCCTATCCTCCGCCTGCATTCCACGCGCACGAAGAGTTCTTCTGCTCTCTTCAGAAAGCACAGTCCTTTCGTTTCCACTCTTCCACTTTTCTAGGTCTGTCCACAGGCTCTTATCGTGCGTTCGCTGACGCCTTACCCGCTCTCTCCAAAAGATCTCCCTCACCTCCCTCCTAAATATCTCGGCTTTCAGCGAAACCTCGCAACGCTCCATCTCTTTCCTGTCTTCTGGTAGAGCATTTGTCCATGTCTGGCCGTCATTTGTGCACATGCCTAAGTAATCCAAGGGCTGTTTCCCCTCCCGATCCCGAACACAAGGGTTGGCACCCAACTTCAACAACATCTCCACACGCGCGCGTCGGACGGCGTCGACAGCACCACGAACCACTGCGTGTGTGAGAGGAGTATACCCATGAGTGTCTTGATGGTTGGGGTTCGCCCCGGCCTCTATCAGGAACTTCAAAAGTACTCCTGTGCGGCGGGAGAAAGGGGCGATGGTTGCGCACCAGCACAGAGGCGTCTAGGTAGGAGCCCGCATGGAAAGGGGGGCATAATGAGTGTAAGCCTGCCTAAAGAATCCATAGCAGCTCGAATAAGACAGATGATATGATGGCTGAAAGAAATCAAGAGCCAATGATGAAGTAAAAATCCTACCTCGCCTTCCCGATCGACTGCATTAACATCTGCACCGTGTTCAAGAAGCCAAGCCACGGACTTCGCCTTCACCCTCTTTGCGGCATAATGTAAAATATGACCATTTTCCCCTTGGAAATTTCGAGTTATAAATTTGCCTTCGGGCATTCCCCATAACTTGTTCAGGGTTGTGATGTCGTTCCGCTCAGCTGCAGCAAGAGCCTTGGTCCATACATGTGCAGCTGATTTTCCTTTGCGATATGAAACATTCGCGGCAGGCAGGACATTCTCTCTGGTCACCATGTATGGCTTTAATTGAATGTGTGACGTCGTTGTGGTACAAAGGTTAAGCATGTCAGCAGCATGAGAGGATCGAGTGGCATGGGAGGGTACGTGCGCAGCCGAGTAGCGGTAAACTAGTTGGGCTGCGATCAAATTCTACGACTTCTATTTTTATCTTAGCGAGTTTCTGACAGTTTCAGCCGACGAACCCTATGCAATATAGGATTTGAATTTGTGAATATGGTAAATATGTAGTGCCACGGGGCATGCACACACAGGCCCTCTGAGCTAGGGCAGCAGTATGCGTGATGTCTGTATACCACCCAAAAAACGTCGTCCGTTCTGAGCATGCACAAGCCCGGCGCAGTGTCACTTCTTATACTTTCATGTTGTGAACGACTTCCAGTCCTTTTTCGCAGGCATATTCGTCGCTTTAGGTCAAACCGCTTCTGAGACTATCTTGGTCGTTGCGGTCTATAATGTACTACTCTATAGAATCCACTTACATTTGGGCAGCTCTTCGTATGCTTTTCGTTCGATGACTTTCTGTTTCATCATCCACTTCACCTCGGAACATTTTTCAACCATTGCACAAACTTTTACTTTTCAATGTCACACTTCTCTTTCCCCTTGCGCGTCAACATCGAAGTTGCAGTCAGCGAACTCCTTTTCAGGAGCTCAAGGCGTAATTGCAGCTCCTCCGCCAAGGCGTGGTCCGTACTGGGCCTTTTCGACGACCTCAACTCCTCCACGATCCCCGTCAGATCCCGTCCGAAGGCATCGACTTCCTCGTAGGCCGTCCCTTGTCCAGACAGCTTCTCCTCCATCGCGTGCACCAGCGCCCTCCCCGCCGAACCAGCCAAGGCAGGCTTGGCCAGGCTGACCAACGAGAATGGATCCAAGCGGCGGCTCTCGTGATCGGAGCAGTAGATGAGCGGAAGCGCGTGCCCGAAGGATGCGTCCAAATGCACGAGTCCGTGTCGGTGGGCGCATCGGGCATGGACTTGGGTCTTGCACTCCGGCCACGGGCACGGGACGGTCAGTCCCCCGGCGTCGTGGCAGATCCCACAGAGTTTGGTGCGGGAGGGCGAGGTCTTGAATCGGTGGAAGACGAGCACGGCCAGGCGGTTCGGGTCCTGGAAAAAGGCCTCGGGGTCGAACCGGACGCAGACCACGTGACCCCAGAGCCGCTTGTCCCTGCTCCCTTTCATGGCCCCGGAGGTCTGTCCGCAAAAATGGCAGGCGATGGGGGGAAAGCTGGTCGGAGTGATGGAGGCGGAGGCCCCTGCCTCCAGGGGAGGAGTCGCGGCGGCGGACTTGAAGTCGTTGGCTTTCTCCCATTTGCATTTCTCGCAGAACCACATGCCTCGGGGGGCGGCTGGGAGGCCGTAGCACCGCTGGTGCACTGCCACATGGCAGCCGTCGCAGAGAACCATCGCGTTGTCCTCCACGGAGTCATTCCCTCCACAGACGTCGCACGGGGCGCCCGTTCCCTTCGTGCCACCCTGGTCACCCTCTTCCTGTTCGTCCTTCGCGCCATTTCTCTCCTCCCTTCCCGCCACGACCATGTCCACGGAGACCCTCTCCTCAGCGCTGTCCTTACCCGCCCCCTTGCTTTCACTCGCTCCATCTTCATCGAAGAGAGCGGTCACCTTTTCTCCCTTGTTGGCCTCCTCCATTCCGCGCGAGACACAGACCTTCTCCTGAGTCCGCCGACTCAGCTTCCCCCCGCCTTCGCCCTGGGCCGGCCCACTCTCCCTCGCCTGAACCCCGTGCGAGGCCCGCGCCAAGTGCTTCCGGGGCCGCCCACGTTTGCGCTTGGCGGGAGCCCGGGGCGCCTGGGACGGGCTGGATACCCGCTCCTCGACCGGAGTCGGTGCGGTGGGGAGGACCGCCGCGCTGCCCAACGCAGTTGCCGGGGGGGGAGGCTCCTGCCGCGTGGCCCCCGGCCTCGGCGTCTTGCAGGCGGACCGAGGACTGCCCAGCTTCCAGGCGGGCGGGCGGGAGAGCAGGGGGGGCAGGGGCGTGGTCGGGGAGAAGACGAAGGCCTCTGGGGCCCCGGCGTCTTGGACGGATGCACAGTCTCTGAGTACCCCCCCCCAGGCGGGCACGGCCGGTATCTCTGGACCCTGGACGTCCTCCAGGTCCGGTTGGCGGGATGTTTCCTCGGTGGGCGGTGCCTGCTCTTTCGGGGTGGGGGAAGATGGCTTCCGAAGCCCATGGCCCCTATCCACTGCCGCCTCCTCGCTTTCCTCTTCCTTGTCCCCCACCGCCCTCCCTTCCTCTCCCGCCTTCAGCCCGACCGCGGCCTCCATGCCTTGTCCGTCACTCTCCTTTCTCCCGTCTCCCTTCGCCTCCGCCCCCGCGTCTGCCCCCCCGCCCTCTTCCTTCGCTCCCTCCAGTACCAGTGCCTGGTCCTCCCCCTCCCTGGCCTCCCTCGTCGCGCTACCCTCCTCCCCAGGCCCCTGTCTCCCTCCCCCTCCTGCCACGGCCCCGGCAGCCCCCTCCGTGAGGCCCTCCCCCGGGCTTTCCCAACCGCCACCGACCTGCTTCCCGGGGGGCTCGCCGTCCGGAACGAAGGACGCAGCAGGCGACGGAGGTCGGGGGCCCAAGGTCGAAGAACGCAGACCCTCCTCCTCCAGCGGGACGAGGAGAGTGGATGGAGGGACAGAGGGGGGAAGCTCCGGGGAGCGGGGGTCCTCACGAGGCCTGGATGGGGGGGCCTCGGACCCGTCTCCCTCCACCGCCCTCGACACCTCCTGGAAAGGGAGGGACGGAGCCGGCTTCCCTTCCTCCTTCCCGCCTGGGCGGAAATCTGAAAGACTCCATCGAAGCCCTGCGCCCGGGCGGCGTAATCGC